TTAGCCGGCAGCCAGTACTTACATTTTTTTTCTTCCTTAAGTGTCGGCTGCGCTCCTTACTTCCCTCTCTAGCCAGTAGCTAATTCTTAAAGGGGAATGTGCCTTTGTAAGCTAGCTCACTCAGCAGCTTGTCTTTTCTGTCTCTGGAGGCCTTTCTTTGTTTGATCAATATATGGAAGAGGGAAAATATGGGGGGGGGTTCAAATTCTTCCTTCAGAAGGAGATGGGAATGAGAAAAAGGGAGGTAGGGAAGGATGGGAGGAAAGGAAGTCCCGCCTTAACACTTGGCCACCAGCAGCTCTGCCATTGACTTTGCTTGTCAAAAGGTTGCAGAAGGGGATCACATGACTCTGGAACACTGTGACCATTATAAATATGAATCAGTTGCCAAGTATCCAAATATAAATCACATGACCCTGGGCATGCTGCAATAGTCATAAGTGTGAAAAATGGTCATAAGTCATTTCAGTGCAATTGCAACTTTGAACAGGTTTTTTTTTTTGGTTATCGAGTTTTTGACACCTTGCTAGGTGGTACTCAAATATTGCCATATCCTAAAAGTGGTACAATTGGTAAAAAGGTTGAAAAGCCCTGCTCTACAACACCCAGAGCCACAGTGGCTCCAACTAGCCGCCTGGCACTTGAACGGAGCCTCCGAGAAGGGGAGGCCTATTCACAAAGGGTCATCAATTCAATCCAAGCCTCAAGAATGCTTACAACTAACAGAATTTACGATTCCACATGAAGAAATTACTGCAGTTGGTGCGCAAAGCAGCAGCTAGATCCCTTTAGGATTGCTATCCCAAGGGTCTTAGACTACTTGTGGGAAGGACTTGAGAGGGGCTTAGCACCCAACACAATTCGCAGACAGGTGGCCGCCCTGTCCACTATACTTACATATGGCAACTCTGAAACACTAGCCAAACACCCAGTGGTGTGATCCTTCATAAAGGGCACAACAAACAACAGACCACCCGTGGTCCATAGATATCCCTCCTGGGACCTGCCCAAGGTCCTACAGGCCATCACTGCACCTCCATTTGAACATATCCGGGCATGCACCTTACAATACTTGACACTTAATGTTGCATTTCTGGTTGCCATCACCTCGGTGAGACACATTTCACAGTTGGCAGCACTATCAGTTAGAGAAGATCTTTGCACCTTTCACAAGGATAGGGTGGTCCTACGTCTAGACCCCTCCTTCATTCCCAAGGTCAATTCTTTATTCCACAAAGCTCAAGAGGTAGTGCTACCAAATTTTTGTCCTCAGCCCTCCCATGAATTGGAGCGCAAGTGGCATACCTTAGATGTCAGCAAGGCCTTAAGACAGTACTTAAAGCGAACTGCACCCTTCCGCAAATCTGAGGCCGTTCCTATCCTTCCACTCACACTCAAGGGGTTGAAGGGTCACAGCTTCCACAATCGGCAGATGAATCAGGAATTGCATAGCAGAAGCATACCAGGGGTAATCACTCCCAGTCCCTAGACAAATCACTGCCTATTCCACTCGCAGCGCTGCAACATCAGCAGCATGGGTGACTCAGGCACCAATTGAGGAAATATGTAGGGCAGCGACGTGGGTGTCACCTTACCCTTTTATCAGACACTACAAGTTAGATAGGTTCACATTGGCGGAGGCCTCATTTGGCAGGAGGGTCCTCCAATGTGTAGTATCAGAGAGTGGGACACAGGCCCAGACTGCTTCCCACCCACAGGGACAGTGAGGCTTTGGTATGTCCCATTGGTGGATTCTCCACTCGTCATGCTAGAGAAGGGACGTTGTCTTACCTGAACGCCTTTTCTCAGCATGATGATGGAGAATCCACTCCCACCCTTAGGGCCAGTCAGGTTCTGTGCTGGGAAGAAATTGAGCCAACTCACTTACATCATAGTCAACAGCTTCGCCTCAGTGGAGACTGGGAGTTGGCCTCAGGAAGAGGGGCGTGGCGATTTGGTTGACTTAGTCTATACAGGCAGAAGACAAGCAAAACCCATTGGTGGATTCTCCATCGTCATGCTGAGAAAAGGTGTTCAGGTAAGATAACACCCCTTCTTCTGTGCCTGAAATTCTATAAATTCTTCAGTTCAAGGGGGTTTAATTCTAGCCCAGCCATTCACATGGTGAGCCAAAGTTATTAGCTGTGGGCATAGAAGTGATTTTCCCCTCCCCAAGACATATACTCTGTAAGAAAAGGCTTTCAGTCGCAGAAAATCTTATGTCTGATATTTTAAAAGTCCCATTTATAAATGCTTCTGTAAACTACAGGTATGCATTTAAAGGGTCAGTGTCAACTTTGAAAATGAGCGTGGCTGCAATCATTTTACATACTCATTTTTAGTTGACACACAGCACAGAGGGAGGAGGGTTTACCCGGTGCTTCTCTAGACAAAACAGACTTTCTCCCATGAGAATCAAGGTCATCGGCTGCTCTCAGGACTGCAGGCTGGGTGTTTCGTGAAAAGCCCACCAAGAAGTTGTATTGGGGAACATTGTAGCTTGCATAGCTTTAGGGGTGGGATTTCTTAACTTTGTATTGAGGATTGTTACATGTCTCTTCTATACACACACACACACACACACACACACACACACACAAAATTGTGATATGTATGTATGTATGTATGTACATGTATATGTATATATGTATGTGTATATATCACAATTAAACATGGATCTGGACCTATTCTCTCGACTGCTAGAGTACTGTCATTGTGAATCCTCTTTGGAAGAAAGTAATTGAGTCTGTATTTTTTTCCTAAACAGCTGGATCTCCAATTCCCAAAGCACTAGTCAATACTCCTTCCCACACCCCAAATAGGATGCATATTCTCTTTCTTTGCCCCTTTTATCTCAGTACAGAATCAAAGCTGCAAGGGATCTGGAGCCTTAGGTGATGGTTGAATTTCTAGCAGAAAATAATAGCATATGCAGAAGCAGCTTGTGATGCCATATGGAAAGCAACAGTTACTTTTACGATCCACCAATAAGACCAGACTTTATCTCTTTGTCCACCTCTCCACAACACTGAGGTCTGAATGCTTTGCAAGTTCATGTGTTCTAAGACATTACTCACAATTAATCTCCAAATCACAGTAGAAAGAAATGCTACTGAATGTGTCAAGAATGATAATCTTTCCACAGCCAGTTTCATTAGCAGAAGATTGTTACAGTGCTACTCAATTATCTTTTTTTTGTAATATATTTTATTGATTTTTTAAAACATAAATCACAATAATTGGTGAATAATGTATTGTCTGGGTTACATTTGTAAAACATTTATTAACAATTGATTTCTATAATCCATAATCCACATAATGGTTTTAGTTGATTTCCTCTTTTCCCAAAATATCCTCTTTTGCAAACATTGAGTTAATATAGTTCTTATTGTTTTGATAGATAATAATTAAATATATATTTTTCCAAATATTCCTGAAAATAATAGTCACATCAATGTAATATTTCTGTTCTATCCAATCATTCTGGTTGCCTTATCATAGATCCTGTTACAGTCCTTATTTTAATTTGTTTCTCCCACCAAATTCTAAGACTGGTTAAGATTTTCTCAAAAATTAATTGCATTTGAAAATTTAACTCTATTTTCCCGTATGAACCATCTCACACTTTTACATTTATTAAGGAATAGATAGAACAATGAAAAAAAGAAAGGAGAGCAAGAGTAAAGAAACATAAAAAATAACATACTATTTAAATATATATCCCTCCTAAGCTAATATATATTTATTTCCTAAATTTCTTATTCTTTCTAACCATAATTAAAATATGTTTAATCTTTAAACATTCCATTTAATACATCTAGTCATCTAGTCCTTTAACTCTTATTTAAGACATTTTTATCCATTATAATTTTCAATCACATTTAAGTATCTAAAACATTTCCTTTAAGTCATTTCAACTTTTTAATATTACTCATATCAAGAAAGAGAACAAAAAAAGGGAAAAAGCATACTATATTATTTAGGGAATTCATCCCTCTTAGAATGACTTATATGTTCCAAAACATTTCTATTTCTTTAACCATATTCAAACAAATGTTTCTTTTTTAAGTATTCTCTCTGGTAAGTCCTATCATCTATTTTCTTGGTTTCCACTTTAGTCTTTTTCCTTTGCCCAGTATTTTTCTTAATCAATGTATTTTGCTGATTCAAAAAGTTTTTCTGTGGTGTTCGTAAATGTTGCTGTAGATATAAAAAGTAAATTGGGTGAAGTGTCTTTGTATGGGGCTTCTGCCTTTCCACGTTTGTTGAAAAACTTTTTCTTTTTCTTTCTCTCTGCTTATCATTTCCTTTCTCTCCAATGTTCCTGACATATCTACAGTCCATTTTATCCAATCTGTTTTCTTGTCCTCAGATTTATTTTTTAGTCTTAAGGATGAATTGTTTATTCCAATTCTTGTGAATTTTTTTCCACTAGAATTAAATCATGTTTTGTTAAGTTCCATCTTTAAGTCTCTATTCTCAATTCTATATCCATTTATCTGATTTATCTGCTCCTTCTCTGTTGTTGTTTTCTGGGATTTTTTTTGTTGTAGAGTTAACTTAGAAATAGATTGATTTATATTTTCAAAGTTATTTTGGATTTCTTTGTGGTTTAAAGTCACTGTTGTTGAATTAGTTGCAGTATACTATATATTCCTCCTGTGAAATATTTATGTTTTCTTGATGTGTTCTTTCTGCATGTCTCTGATCCATGATGGCTAAGAATTTGAGTTTTTCTCTTCTTTTCTCTTCTCTGCAAATAGCTTTAGAGTCCCAGTTAAATAGATATTTGTAATCCAAAAAAGTTTTTTTTTCCTGAAATTTATAATTCTCTCTTTGTCTACAGCCCAGATTATTGTCTTTTTTGGCACAGCTGTTCTTTGTTGTTAAAACTTTGAACGTCACAAACACAGATTAGCTTTTCCCAAGTTTTGCCAAGTCTTATATTAAAGTCATAGCTGTTGTTGTCTTCATCCACCACTAGGTGTCAGTAACTATTTGTTTTTCATTTTCATTTATTTTGATCCTCCATAAAAAGATTAATTCGCCGCTTCCGTTAGTGTAAGGGTGGGGTGGAAATCCCCCTCCTTCCCTTTCAGAGGTATTTTGCTTCTTGGGGATCTTTTCCAGGAAATTAAATGTAGAATAGAAAAGAGAAGATCGAATTACTCACCCAGTTTCAAACACGCTGTTCATAGTTGTGCTGGTTAGTGCTTTTGGACTTCGGTTGCTAGTAGCTTGGGCTGGATGATGCAATACAGCCAGCCTTTCTCCTGTTGGGTTAGAAAGCTTTCCCCAAGTCGAACAGAATGGCCGCCACTGTTCCAGAGCTGCTGGAGCACCCTTCTTTCTTGGTCGCCTCTTTGGGGTGACGTAGACCCATTTAGGGTCCCCAGGCAGGGCGAAATTAGCCGCGGGGGCGCAGAGAATCTGCAAGCCCGCGACTGGTCACTACCGTGCAAAACTAGAAGTCATTCATTTATCTTCAAGGAATGAATAGTGATTGAAAATACATTCTGGATTTGCAATGTAATGCAACAATGTAGGTTACATCCAACACGGGGACTTCACTAAATCTCCAACTTGGGTACTTGCCATGCCCATTTGCCAGTATTACTGGAGGTTTTTAAGATTCATATTCTGTATCTGGGCTGCCACTTCCAATAAACTGCCCTTCTGGTTTCTGTATCATCTGCAGGCCACTTTAGCTGACTGTGTTCAGCAGGTCAGCGGTTCAAATCTCACCGGCTCAAGGTTGACTCAGCCTTCCATCCTTCCGAGGTAGGTAAAATGAGGACCCAGATTGTTGGGGGCAATGTAAATATATATATACATTGCTTACTGGTGTACACCGCTTAGAGAGTGCTTGCACTTAAAGCGGTATATAAGTCTCATAAATAAATAAATAAATAAATAAATCTGGGTGAGGAACCAGTTGTCTCAAAATCCTGAGCATCTGAAAATTATTCTAGACTTTGTGCTCTTCCCAAGTTCCAGGGAGCATAAGTTAAACAGTTAATCAGGTCAATGTTGCATGCCAAGGCTAATTAATTGACTCAATTTTATGAGCCCTAATTGATTCAGAAATTCAATTGCCTACAACAGGGGTCCCCAATCCCCGGTCCGTGGACATGCTAGCAACCGGTCCATACAAACAATGAAAGCCCCATCCACAGGATGCAGGCAGCACACAAAGCCATGCCCTCTCCAGTCCACGGAAAAACCTCTCTCCACGTAACCGGTCCCTGGTGCCCAAAAGGTTGGGGACCTCTGATCTACTATATTGATATCACATGTCATTGTTAATACATAATAATATGGCCTGAATGTGAAATGCTTATATAGAACCAAATTCTTCTGCCTGGGTAAAACATATTAGGGCTCCTTCAAATTGACTGAGGATCTCTGAAGAACACTTAAACAACAATTGTTCCTTGAAAAAATAGTGAGGCTTGGCAATTGATTGGTAAACTGTTTTTGCATTTCCAGATACTGAATCAGTTTCCTTTCACTTCCCAGTTTCCCATAGAAAGAACCTTGGCTTCAGATATCCTGCAATTGAATAATCAAAGTGTATTTTCTGTCTTTGTCTGTTTTCCCCCCTGGTGACCTATATGCTGGGCAAAAGGTATTGGAGAAAATTGAAATCATCCTGGTGCCCCCCAGCTGTTCTGAAAGAGCAGTTTTTTTTGAACTGATATAGCTGCTCCTATAACTTGATAAGCTCTAGTCTCCAGTTGAGACTCTTCAGTGAAGGTTTCAGTGTTTATCCAGGTTAGAGCAGATTGTATCTTCATACTCAGAAGTTGTAAAGTGATTTCAGTTTCCCTCCACGCTCTCTTAATCTCTTCTAGAGTTTCAACAGTCTGATTCTATGTGGTAATCTGCTGTGCCATCTACCAAGAGAGCAGGAAGTGGTGGTGGTGAGGTGCACAGTTTGTGTGAGTCAGTTCCTTACATACTGATTTTGTGCAACTTGTCCTTGACAGGACATATGATTCAATACATTGAAATGACAAGTCTTAGTGATGGCATTAGTTATCTTAGGGTTGGATGATCACCCATTTGAGCAGAGGACATGCTTTGGGAAGAAAATTTCCTGAAATCACTTTCTATTCAAAAATTTCTCTCCTAGGATTTCAGATGATCCTACAGGCCTTAGTATATCATTCGTTCAGAGTTCTTTGCTCAGCAGACATAATATTTTTTATCTGGACAGTAACCTTCCTATCAGCAAGACAGGTATTTAGGCTAGTGAGGGGTCCTTGCTTGTTTTCTTGCAGATGTTTCATTACTCAAATTAGATAACATCATCAGTGCTAGCTACTAGCACTAGGACCGCTCATGTCAATGCTGAGCTACAAATATTCTCCTTTATCTAAATAATAAATAATAATAAGTGGCCTTACTAGAGTGTTTTTGTGTTTTTTCCCCATTGATCCTACATATTAACTCTACACTCATGCATTCAACAACAGCATAAAATAGCAGAGTTATAAGGGACCTTCTAATTCAACCTCCTGCTTGGACATGTTGCCCTGCCTGGTTGTCCATCTGTCTGAAATGTCCTTAGTATATTCTTAACTTCCACAGAGTTCAGGATTTATTCTTCTGTCCACATCTAGCCACAGTAAGAAAGAGATGGACGTCTACAGATGAATGACTAAACAGCCATCAGACTTTTTCTTAAAAAGACCAAGTATGAATCTTGCTATTCTTTGTTTCAGTTTGGAAAACCTCTTTTAGCCTTAATATGCTTTTATTACACCAACCTGGCTCTTTTAAATACTATAGTAGAATATAAAACTTGTCTTCCAGAGTTGTATGCCTGCATGTTATGCTTCATATTTAGAATTGCTTCATCTTCTTTGAATAGGAACTGAGTGGGTGTGTAAAGCTGGAGACAGTGGAAAACAGCCATATGAGTTTAGCAATCTGGCTTGTATTTATTGGATAACCAAGTGAAAGATAGTCATCTGTCCAAAGTTTCTTCACTTGCCTTAGGCCAGTGATGGCAAACCTTTTAGAGACTGAGTGCCCAAACTGCAACCCAAAACCCACTTATTTATTGCCGGGTGCCAGGTGGGCATGGCCCACTGGGTGGGCGTGGGTGTGGCCAAGGTGGGCATGATCACCTCGATGTTGCTTGTGGGGAGGGATTATTATTGATCAAATAAAGTTTGTCAATATTAGTAAAAAAAGAAAACACTTAAAAATCCTTTCGCTACATTGTGAAGAAAACAATATGACTGGGTCTATGTAACCACCAAGAGTAAATTTCTGCTGAAGGGAAGCTTCATAATAAACATCAGAACAATAGTATTTTTCTCAAAAATGTTGGCACGAGTGTTTTATTTAGTCCTTGTGAAATGAGTTTTGTCAGCATTTCTCATCTGGTGTCTCCAAGATGTATTAGATGTAATGTTACCAGGAAATGCTGTCAGGAAATTCTGAGAGTTGTTCTCCAATATATCTGAACAACAGGATTGGGAAAGCATCATAAATCAATTTTGAACGTTTTGAAGATGTTAACGTTCTACTGGGAAAGCAAAGTATTATGTAAATAGGTAGAGACTTCACCTCCCTTAAAATATACTTCACTATGATCTGTTTCGTTTAAAAACAACAGCACAAGAAAAACTGAATAAATAAAATTAGACTGGATTCAGTTACACTTTTAAAAATCATTGTTTGGATCTGGTGCTGGATTTATAAATACATGCTATTGCACAGACATTTCTGAACCTGCCTATTTTGTTTTAACGCCTTCTGAAAAATGTTTCCACTATGGTCTGTAAATGTATTATATGACTGAAAGTACAGAGCAGTTGAAAAGCTTTATTCTATGAAATGATTTGGAAATAAATCTTGGGACTTGGGAATAGGACATGGTTTCTTCAGTGTTCAACAGAATAAAGTAACGAATAATAATTATATGGACATTGCAGAATCAAAGCTTAACTAGTTAGGTTTTTGATACTTTGGCTTTGTTTTAAAAACTTATATATAATTCTACATTGCTGTAGCAGAATTACTTGAAAAAAAACAAAAGACCTCTAGGCATCTGGGATAGGTTTGTGAGATTATTTGCAGAAAAACTTGCTCATATTTACCCAGAGTTGAATATATTCCTCAGAGTCGAGGGACATGCTATAATAATAATTTATATTGTTAGTCTTTTGATTTTCTGGAGCCTGAGAAAGTGGTCCCTTATGCCATCTCTAGGCAGGATTTATGCCTAGCTTCTTTCTTTTGTGGAACTAAAGGGGATATGTAGACGAATGACTCTTTGGGGGAGATAGAGGTGCCAGCAACCTTCAGAAGGGCGCTGTTTCACTCTCTTAAAGAAACGAAATCTCATCCTGTTTTAAGACAACTTCTGCAAGAGGCATTGTTTAGTAAACAAATAAAAAAACTGGTAGAAGACAAGATATTTAAGTGCTATCACTGATGACAGAAGCAAGAGCTCACAAGAGTTCAGACAAATAGTTGCTAATAGACAATCCTGATGAAATGAAATCTGTGTATCTAGAATTGGAAGCAGCTGAATGACCGGACGAGAACGCTAACTAAGAGATGCTGTGGCATGTATGGAAGCTGAATGGGGAAAAGAATAGCTTGAAGACTATTTGGAAACTTCAGCTAGTTCAAAATGCAGCAGCATGCAAGTTTAGTGGTTTTACCACGTTACACAAACTGCATCGATTGCTAATAGTTTCTGAATGCAATTCAAAGTTCTGAATGCTATTTGGGGTTTGGAACTTGAATATTTTAATGATTTCCTTTCCCCATTAGGTTCTGCCCATCATACCCAGATAGGGACTATCTTCTGGAGGGGAGATTTCCCTCTTTTCAGGGGATACAGCAGGAAGGGTTTGATAGTGGGCATTTTTTGTAGCAACTCCATTCCTCTGGAATAACTTCTCTCCAAACGTTATATAGATATCTGGAAGCAAATGAAATCATGGCTGTAGGCCACTTAGACTCTGGCTGGTATCAAGCAGTGAAGGAAAGAAATATTTTAATTGTCATGTTTTGATGATTTTAACCTTTATTTCTGATTAATGCCACTTGGAGCCATTTTAGATTAGAGGACACAAAAATACCAGGAACATATAAATAATACCAAAGGCCTGCTCAGTGACTCATAAGTACCTACCCATCACCACATTTAAAGCTAATGCAATATGCTCTTGATGATTCTACCTTTGAAGATCATCCAGAAGCTACAGATTAGTATTGAAGGCAGCAACAGAAATGCTGGTAGGCAAGACCCACATTTTCAGCATCACATCTATTTTGGGATTGCTGTACTAGTTCAGCCAGTTCATAGTGTTTGCTCTTTAAGTCATTGTGTGTGCATATGTGAATAAACAGTGTATCTAAGGAGAAATTTCCTGACAGTTAGAAAAATTAATCAGTGGAACAACCTGCCTCCAGAAGCTGTGAATTTCCAACACTGGAAGTTTTTAAGAAGAGACTGGACAGCCATTTGTCTGAAATGGTAGAGGGTTTCCTGCCTGAGCAGGGGGTTGGACTAGATGACCTCCAAGATCCCTTCCAACTTTTTATTATTGTTATTGTGTTGTTTTGTTGTTAATATTAGTATTATTAGTATTAGTATTATTAGTATTATCTACTTGTACTGCTGGTGAAGTGAAGCAGTTTAGATATACAGTATATCCTTGCAGAGCATATCTAGTTAAGTCTTTGAAGCAGCAGTGCCAAGATTTTTGTTTTAATGCTTGGAGAAGGGGAGCTCTGATCATGCCCATCAGGCTTTGTAAAAATGCCCTTCAAATGCTTTGCAAAGTGCTACTGCTACTGCTGGTCCAAGATTTGTTCTGAAACTCGGAATCACCAATTAATATTTCAATTCTGAGCTACCCAGTGATTATGTGCCAGTCTCACATATATATATTTAAAATATTACTGTTACAATGTCTTATTGACAGAATTTAAATTTACTATTTAAATCTATTAGAAGCGTATAACAGTTAATAGACAAAATGAATGAATGTATTACAGCATAAAATGTGTTTGTAGTTAAATCTTTGGAGATATCAGATGTACAGAAAGTAGGAAAGCTGTCACCATATGTTTTTTTGAGGTCACCAAGGGTCAGTGGTCTAGCCACTTCTGGAAGTAGAATACTGTGTTCTATTGGGCATCTCTTACAGAATAGTTGATTTCATTTCTGCCAACAGATTCTACTTACTGAAATTGGCTATAAATGTATTATTGCTTCACTTGTTGGGAAAGTAACATTTTCCATGTTCTTTATCAGAATGTTATATAATGTATAATAGTTTGAGCTGTGTAATATGCCTAGATGTGTTTGAATATAGGAATTGAATATATGTTTCTGTTTTTTGCTTGTAACACTGTAGGAGAAGAGCAAGCTGAGAAGGTGGGGTTAGATGTGTCATCAGTTTGGAGTCATTGCGTTGCCACAAAGAGAACTAAGTCCAGCCACCCGTGAATTCTGTTGACACTTACCTAGTGCCAATTTAACTTTGACTATTAGTTGCCTAGATTCTTGTATTAGTGGTAGCAATAATAAAAGCTATGCTTTGAACTGAAGAAATGCTCCTGGTTATTTATGCCTGACAAACACTTGCACAATGGGTATAACTACAAGATAGCATTTTAAATGTATTTTAAATACGTATGCACGCATGCACACACACACACACACACACACACACACACACACACAAACACAGAGAGAGAGAAAATAAATTCATTTTTTATCTTTATCTTAGTTCATATCTTTGGTCTTGCTATGGTCCTTGCTCAATAGGAATGCTTTGTGTTGCTTTGGGTGTCTAAATAGAAGTAATTATTAGGCTCTTGCTTTAGAAAAAATAATAACAAGTAATAATAGGGATATGCCACAATTTATATAGGAAAAATGAATGCAATTTTTCTTTCATTTTTCAAAAGACAAATCAAAATAGCTTGAAGGTACTAAAGATTCCCCCCCCACACACATGATTCTGCATGGTTGTTGTTCCATTGCATATGAGACACTAAATATAGATTTTTGTCCATATATCTTCTATAAAGCCTGTACAGGGAGCTATTCTTGCAATCATTTTTCAGCTCCTAGTGATAGTTTATACTGTGTGGTCTAAACCACTTTAAGAGTGATTGCTCAGTAATTATAACTCATAGAATTAACTGCCAGTGATAGAATTCCACAAAGTAGCCTTGTGTCTAGATGTATCTAACCAAATACAAACAAACAATCCCAGGAATAAGGTGGTATTTTCCTGGAAATGGCTCGAAATACTAAAATAATCCGAAATGTACAGCTTAAAATTATAAAATATTCTGAAATTTTAAATCTTTGTTTCAAGAAATAAAGCAAGTGATAAGGATAGTTTCACTCATAAGATTGCAGATACAACTTTGAGAGCTTTTGTATTTATAAATTTATATACCGTATATTCCGGCATATAGGGCGACCCGGCGTATAAGACGACCCCCTAGTTCGATGCCGGGTCGCAAGACGATCGATGCCGAGTCACATGCCTAGAAAGTTGTCTTATACGCCGGAAACTACCGGTATTTCCAGAGTATAAGACGATCAACGCCGAGTCGCATGCCTAGAAAGTCGTCTTTTATGCCGGAAACTACATTATTTCCGGTGTATAAGACGATCGACGCCGAGCCGCGTGCCTAGAAAGTAATCTTATACGCCAGAAACTACCTTATTTCCGGCATGTAAGACGACTCAGCGTATAAGACGACCCCTGAGTTCGGAGGCTGTTTCGACGATCTCAAAAGTCATCTTATACGCCGTAATATACGGTAAGTAAAAATACAATTTGTTCTAAATTTTTTGTTTAAGAGCTCTATGTTACTCAATACAAGCTTAAATCCTTTCTTTTTGGCATCTAAGAATCATACTGTATAACTTTCTGTAATATTCAGAAATTCCACTTAGTAAGATGTTATATACAGACATTTGGAGGTTATTTTGATGATTATCAAAAATGTTTACCTACATTAGTAGTAATACAGGTTTATAGTAAATATTATGGACATTGGAGTGAGTAAAATATTATACAGAAAAACCTCCTGAATCTGAACGATGTAAGTAAAAAATTAGATTCTCCAGCATGACGAGTGGAGAATCCACCAATGGGTTAGCTTTGTCTTCTGCCTGTATTGACTAAGTCAGCCAAGTTGCCACGCCTCTCTCCCTGGACCAGGAACCCAGTCTCGACTTAGTCTTTCGCCTGAGAGGACACACTACTTGGCTCTAGAATCCAAATCACCCGATCAGGTCGTATTTAATTTAATTTCTTTTCCCTTAGATGTCCGGAGGAGTAGAAAACGAACAGCTGTTCATTCGCCGCCGCTTCTAACGCGCGAAGCGGATCCGGCAGGCTTTGTTTGAAGACCCAGCTGGCCCCAGATGATCGTTGGTAGGCTAACAAAGAGCCGGTCGCCATTTTAGCACCTCATGGGTTTTTAGAGCAGGTGGGAGGAATCTTCCCCCCGCGTGGAAAGATCAAAGCCTAGCCTTTGCTGAACCTCCAGATCACTAGCCATCAATCCCTAGCCATAGGGAGCAAATTTAAAGCAACCGCCATTTTAGAGACCGGTTGCGGCTACCATTTTTAAAGCCATAAAATTTAAAAGGACCGGCTTGCCAGCTCCCTCTAGGACTCGAACTAAGCTGGGCATCAATTATTTCTGAAGTACAGCGGCGGTAAGCCGTAGCTGGCCCAGACTGGCACAGTGTGTTTTCAGCTTCAATTCTCCAAATAAAATTAAAAACGGCACGAGCCAGAGAAGTTCTGAACGGGGAGGAGAAGGGGAGCACGCTGCCCCCCCCACTCACTAGCAAACCGCCTCCCTACAGGGATAATTGCATCCTCCCCTTACCAGCTGAGCCACTGACAATCCGAATTCAATTCAATTCATCAAGTTTTAATAAATAAATAGGTTTAAAAAGGACAAAAAGAGGAAGAGGAGGAATCAAGCGACATCAGAGGGTGTCTGAACTGTCTGCCCAACAATTGTTTGCGAGTCGTATCATTAAATTGATCTTGCCTCCACCAGCATCACAGCAGAGTGTTGGACATTAAAGTGGATCTCAGAGGTGTGGTTGTACCAATAATTGGATTTGCCGCCTGGGACTGTTTCCAGTCACTACCAGGTTGCTCCGTGGCCTGAGCTGACCTATCATCAGGCTCCTCACCATGAGATTCCTCTCAGTCTCTATGCTGAGATATCTCTTGTGACAATGGTAGACATCAGTGCTGCTCAAGCAGCACAGTCCCCCTGGATGTAAGAGGTCAAGATCATCCAATCAGGAGACAGCAGGAAGAATCAAGGCCAAAGCAATATCTGGCAAAAGATCCTCTAAGGCTGCTGACAAGGAGGAAAGACAAAGACACCAAGCTCTAGAGAAACAGTTCTCCAGGGCTGAAAAAAGGCAAAGCACAGCAGGAGATGGAATAGTTTCCCCTGCTTACACAGAAGCTGAGATATTTGGCCTGCTACTGTCTATTCAGGAACCCCTGGAAACAGAGGCCGAGGCAGAACAGGTGGAGAGATCCCCCTTAAGTGAAAGGCCTGAGAGTCCTGAGGCACCTGGTACACACTTAGCGGACAGTCCCACAGACAGTCATGGAGCCCTATCATCAGAAGACTTACAGTCCCTGATATCCTAGGCCGTCGCCCAGGGCATTGCCTCCACAATGCATCACAGGCCCAGAGCCGGGTCTGTAGTATCAAGGGGTTGATCCTACCTTTCCCAAGAGGAAGACACAGCATACCAGGGATCCATTTCTCCATCTCGTTCTTGTAGAAGCAGCAGGTCCCCCACTGGGGACTACAAACAAACGGATCAGGGGTTGTCAAAGGATGAAGACATATCCCCGGACCCCCCATCATTTGTAGGCCTCTTCAATCCAACCCTCTTTAAATCCCTGCTCCACAAGGCCAGCACCACGGCAATGATTAAGAGGCCAAGGATCCCTCAGGAGGGACCCTCTACAAGTCAGGATACTAATAGCAGAGTGTTCTTGGAACCCACCTACACACAGCAATATATTCCCTGCCCCCCTCTCTTCTTTAATACAATTCAGAAAAATTGGGGAGCACCAGGGTCCTTCCCTTCAATGGGGGGGGACAGACAAGAAACTGTTCAACATAGATCCTGCCTTATCAGAGGTGATAGAGGTCCTGACAGTAGATGAGCCACCAGCAGCTCTATTTTCACCATCCATGGTATCTGGGGATGCAGCAGAGGCCTTGAAGTCAGAGGACAGGAAGGCGGAACTGACCTTCCGCAGAACACATCAGGCCTCCATATCTAACTCATTCTTTGCTAGAACTTTGTTGCTTTGGCTATGTCAACTCCAAGCCAGGGTTTCCCCAGACGAGGAAAGAACCCACCATGACTTAAGGAGGTTAGTGGCTGCAGCGGAGTTCATGGCAGACTCATCATTATATGCCGCCAACTACTCTGCCAGAGAAATAGCGTCCAATATCACAGCTCACAGCTTACTGTGGCTCAGAAAATGGCGAGCAGACATCAAGGCAAAGTGATGGCGGCTGCTGCACCTTACAGGGGTGGCCTACTCTTCGGTGAGGCCTTGAACCCTTTTTTGATAGAAAACAAGGACAAACGCAAGGTCATGGCTCACCTCTCAAAGAAGGTCGAGAGGAGATTCTCTACCTTCGCTCACAGACAGCCTTTCAGATTAGAGCAAGCCCAGAGCTTTCTTCTTTTTCCTGTCCCTTTCAGCCCAGATCAGACTGCCAGGTTGACCGATCCGTTAACAGGGACAGATATAGACAGCAATTCCAGTCGAAGCGGCCTTTTCGAGGAGCGGGGGGCCGCCCCTTTTGTAAATCCAAGTGACGGGGAGACCTCCCCCTTGGTGGCAGGCTGGCCCTCTTCGCATACAGATGGCAAGCCACCACCATGGACCTTTGGGTCCTAAACACTGTCAGATTCGGCCATTCTCTGGAATTCACTTCCAAGCCCCCGAACCACTTCATCCCTTGCCCATCACCCAAGGATCCAATCAAAAAGGGCCTCATCAAGGAGGCCATCCAGGACCTCCTGGAAATTCAGGCCATAGAGCCGGTACCAATGGGTCAACAGGGACAGGGATTCTATTCCATCTTATTCGTAGTCTCAAAGAGCTCGGGGGGATGGAGGGCAATCCTAGATCTAAAAGATCTGAACAATCACCTGGCATACAGAAGATTCAAAATGCAGACACTACAGTCTATATTAGCCGGCATCAGAAGGGGAGACCTCCTAACATCCATAGATTTGATGGAGGCTTACCTTCACATTCCCATACTTCCCAAGCATCGGAGGTTTCTCAGGTTCTATTATGCAGGCCAACATCTTCAGTACAGGACCCACCCTTCGGGCTTTCATCGGCCCCCAGAATTTTCACAAAGGTTCTGGTGACTCTCGCCATCCATTTACGGACCATACCCGTGCACATCCAGTGCTACCTGGATGACATTCTCATTCAATCCTCCGTCCAAGCGGCACAGTCGGATCTGACATTAACCCTAACAACCCTTCAAAACCACGGGTT